CAGATTTTATGATACAGGACCCCTCTTGTTATGGGATACAAATGTGACAGGATTGGAACCGGATTTATAGTTCCATGTACATCAAAGTAAAGGGAAGCTCAGCCTGGGGGTCTGTCAGCAAGTTCTGTAAAAACTGATCCAATCCCAACGAAACAGCATTTAACCCAATGTAAAACTGGTCCAATCCCAACCAAACAGCATTTAACCCAAAGTAAAACTGGTCTAACCATCATCATCGTGCAGGCAAATGCTGGTACTAACACTGTAACAATGTATACCAATGGTATTTATCCTTTAACCCTAGGCATCCTGTATATATTAACCCTGTATCGATATTCACAATGCACGCACCATGCATGTATAGTCTCTACTCTGTTCCAATCATTATCAACCAGGCAGATTTTACTGTTTACATTATTACACTGTTCAAAACATAACCGGACTGTCACTGCTCCAATCATTACCAGGCAGATTTTATTATCTAACCCTTGACCGTCAATGCTCTAATCATAACCAGGCAGATTTTATTATCTAACCCTTGACCGTCACTGCTCTAATCATAACCATGCAGGCAGATTTTATTATCTAACCCTTGACCATCACTGCTCCAATCATAACCAGGCAGATTTTGTTATCTAACCCTTGACCGTCACTGCTCGGATCATAACCAGGCAGATTTATTATCTAACCATTGACCGTCACTGCTCCATTCATAACCAGGCAGATTTTATTATCTAACCCTTGACCGTCACTGCTCTAATCATAACCAGGCAGATTTTATTATTTAACCCTCGACCGTCACTGCTCCAATCATAATCAGGCAGATTTTATTATCTAACCCTTGACCGTCACTGCTCTAATCATACCCATGCAGGCAGATTTTATTATCTAACCCTTGACCGTCACTGCTCCAATCATAACTAAGCAGATTTTATTATCTAACCCTTGGCCGTCACTGCTCTAATCATAACCAGGCAGATTTTATTATCTAACCCTTGACCATCATTGCTCCAATCATAACCAGGCAGATTTTGTTATCTAACCCTTGACTGTCACTGCTCCAATCATAACCAGGCAGATTTATTATCTAACCATTGACCATCACTGCTCCATTCATTACCAGGCAGATTTTGTTATCTAACCCTTGCAATTTTGGCCGTCACTGCTCCAATCATAACCAGGTAGATTTTATTATCTAACCCTTGACTGTCATTGCTCCAATCATAACCAGGCAGATTTTATTATCTAACCCTTGACCGTCACTGCTCCGATCATAACTAGGCAGATTTTATTATCTAACCCTTAACCATCACTGCTCCAATCATAACCAGGTAGATTTTATTATCTAACCCTTGACCATCACTGCTCCAATCATAACCAGGCAGATTTTATTATCTAACCCTTAACCATCACTGCTCCAATCATAACCAGGTAGATTTTATTATCTAACCCTTGACAATCACTGCTCCAATCATAACCATGCAGATTTTATTATCTAACACTTGACCGTCACTGCTCCAATCACAACCAGGCAGATTTTATTATCTAACCTTGACTGTCACTGCTCAAATCATAACCAGGCAGATTTTATTATCTAACCCTTGACCGTCACTGCTCCAATCATAACCACAGACAGATTGATTGGTTAACTCTTGATTCACTTTGGTCCAATAATGTCTGTTGAAGCTATCATTATCCAACTCTTGACATACACAGAGCTCCAATCATAACCAAGCAACTTTTTCAGCCAACCCTTGGCGTACAATGCTCCTATGGTAAGCAAGCAAGATTTATGATCCAACCCTTGACATACACTGCTCCTATGGTAAGCAAGCAATATTTATGATCCAACCCTTGACGTACAATGCTCCTATGGCAAGCAAGCAAGATTTATGATCCAACCCTTGACGTACAATGCTCCTATGGTAAGCAAGCAAGATTTATGATCCAACCCTTGACATACACTGCTCCTATGGTAAGCAGCAAGATTTATGATCCAACTCTTGACATACACTGCTCCTATGGTAAGAAAGCAAGATTTATGATCCAACCCTTGACATACACTGCTCCTATGGGAAGCAAGCAATATTTATGATCCAACCCTTGACGTACAATGCTCCTATGGCAAGCAAGCAAGATTTATGATCCAACCCTTGACGTACACTGCTCCTATGGTAGGCAAGCAATATTTATGATCCACCCCTTGACATACACTGCTCCTATGGTAAGCAAGTAAGATTTATGATCCAATTCTTGACATACACTGCTCCTATGGTAAGAAAGCAAGATTTATGATCCACCCCTTGACATACACTGCTCCTATGGTAAGCAGCAAGATTTAAGATCCAACTCTTGACATACACTGCTCCTATGGTAAGAAAGCAAGATTTATGATCCACCCCTTGACATACACTGCTCCTATGGTAAGCAAGTAAGATTTATGATCCAATTCTTGACATACACTGCTCCTATGGTAAGCAAGCAAGATTTATGATCCAACCCTTGACGTTCACTGCTCCTATGGTAGGCAAGCAATATTTATGATCCAACCCTTGACATACACTGCTCCTATGGCAAGCAAGCAAGATTTATGATCCAACCCATGACATACACTGCTCCTATGGTAAGCAAGCAAGATTTATGATCCAATTCTTGACATACACTGCTCCTATGGTAAGAAAGCAAGATTTATGATCCAACCCTTGACTTACACTGCTCCTATGGTAAGCAAGCAAGATTTATGATCCAACCCTTGACGTACACTGCTCCTATGGTAAGCAAGCAAGATTTATGATCCAATTCTTGACATACACTGCTCCTATGGTAAGCAAGCAAGATTTAAACACTTGATTTACACTACTGGTCTAAGGTCTAATCATGACTGTTGAAGGTTTTATTGTCCAACTCTTGACTAACTGCTCTAATCATAACCAAGCAGCTTCTATTATACAACACCGGATTAGCACTGCTCCAATCATACACAATCAGCTGTCATCTTTCAATTCTTGAACTTAACTGCAGGTTTTTTGAGCCAACCCTCACTAGCCCTGCTCCAATCATAACCATGCAGCTTTTATTTCTTAACCTTTACATCCGGAGTCATAACCAAGCATCTTTTTTCAGATAACCTTTGACTATGCCTGTATCAATTTTAACCAAGCAGCTTTTATTTTCCAAACCTTAACTAATCCCCCCTAGAGTCATATACCCAAGCATTGTTTTCTAGACAACCTTTCACTATGCCTGTTCCAATAATAACTAAGTTTGTCATGTGATCTGATGATGGTGGGTTAAAAATGTACCAGTACATTTTGACAACCATATTGGGGCTGTCATTATAAATGTAGTACACACTAAGCATCAATTAACTAATTACACGTTTAAAATTTATTTCATGTTATAACAATGCAATTTCCCACGGTTTGTACTGATGTAAATCCTAATTCACACAAATGTTTTATTGTACAGAAACAAAATTTGTCTAAGGTTATTGATGGAACATGGAAAAGTTGGTGCATATATCAAGGGAGGTAGGTCCTTCTTGGTGGTCCTTCATGTTGTAATCTGACTTAATCATCATATGTTGTTGTTATCTAAAGTAAACTGCTTTGTGTTATTGACTCATTCCTTTCGAGAAGTTCACTGTCCGACAATAAAGGTACGTTATATTTACAGGATTGGCCCTCCACAGTCTACACGCCAACCATACAAGCCTTAACATGATACAGCATAATGCTACAAAAGCAAGAACGGAGAACAACTGTTTGTTCTGTTTGTTGTATGAGAGTTTGGCGAAGGCAGGTGGAAGCTAGGTTTGTATACAGAAACAGTTATCACTGAAGATCTGTAATTACTGCAGCACCACACAGATAGAACAGGTAGAGCAACCAGAAATACAAATACATGAGAATGGTATAAAACCAGCACACAGAAAACTAATTATGACGGTTTGTTACTCTTCCTAATAGCCAGGCCCGAGATAGCTGCCTTTGATGAAGTCATGGCTGGCCCCATGTATAAGTCATAAACCACACTAAAACACAAATCTGGCCCTCTGGCACAGTTATCTGTTACTATGTCAACAGGCCGCCCACCTTCTCCACTTAGTAAGGTACATCAAGGTACATCATACATCTGAACTCCAGAAAATCGGATAGATCTTTGTGTTGTTATAGTTATGATAAAGTAAAACCTCTATAAACATGTAAAAGATGTGTGAACTATTAGTGTTTTGGCTAAAAAATGTGATTCTATTAATAATAGTCCAGGTTGACTGTTTAATACTAATGACCTTGACCTTTCAATCATCACCCCCATTAGCAATCAGAAACCAGCAACATAATGTTAAAGAAACTGAAATTATAGATTGTTTAATGCAGAAACAGAACTTGATTGAAATACTACCTCAGCAACCACTTTAAGCAAGTTTGGCAGTGTAGACTCAATTGATGTCTATTCTGATTGGGCAAAAATAAAATGTGACTAAAAATGAACGGAATTTGCAAAGCAGAAAAAATCATACCCCATCCTCCAATAGGGAGGATTAATAGAATGATCTCATCATACATTACAACAGAGAGTATATGTACTTATTTTATTCTGCTTCCTGTCAAAACTAAGACTGTTGGTTAATTAGTCTATTCATATTGAGGACCCTGTACAAACAACTAACCAGTGAAACAAGTCTACAAAACAGGAACTAAACTGATATATATACCTATAATAATTGAGGAGCCATATCTCACAAAACCTTTGGCTTTAATTTCTTAATCGGCAGATGTTGCGGCTCTAAAATGGGAATCAGACTCTGGAAAAAGAACTTCTCAGTGTATCACATTCTTTGACTTGCTAAAGCTTCTGAAATTGGATTATAAATATACAATTTTCGTAGGTCAACTACTCAGAAGTTAAAGGTCAACTATTTAAAGAACGTAAAACCTGGCAATTATGAATTTGATAAATATATTCATAAAGAAACAGAACAATAGTTCAGCTATTACCTGTGATCGAGACCTCTTCAAATTTGGTGGCATATTCATCCAGTTGTTTTTACAGGGTCTACTGATAAATCCACAAAAGTTGTTCTAATGAAGAACCATAACAGAAGTACAATCCCACAGGTAAACATACGTTGATCTGCCAGTGGTGAACTCCTCCGGGGGAGCTAATACAAATGTACCCGGACACCACACAAAAACACGGCAAAAATAACAACCCGTCTTGTTGTACGTATCACACAAATTCAGCCATGTTATGTACAAAGTAAATTTGAAGCAATTACAAAAGTTGGCGAATTCTTAATAAATGAAATTTCTTTACATGTATGTAGTGACAAGAGTTTTCATATGTAAAACTTGCTTAGTTATACTTTGCACAGTTTCTGTTGGTAATGTCGTCTTTAATAGTTGATCACGTATTTCTATACCTGTCTCTGTACAGGTAATACAGGTAAATGTACCATTCACGTATATACACATACATGTGATAGTCTGTTGTCTCCCTCTGTAACTACCTACTTAGTACATTATACCTGTCCACTAACAGATGTGCCACTGAACAAATTAATAACACTATCAAAGCACAAACCAGAATATATGAATATCAATCAGCGAAGATTTTATAAGGTCTGATCATAATATGCTTCATAAAATTACCTAAAGTTGTAATCATATACATTTACTTGTAACAGAAGCTTGTTTGCGGTTCATTATTAAATATCTATTTTGGAAATAGAAATCGTGATTTATCCCTGTTGTGCTGACTACAAGGAATACTGGTATGCAAGCACATTAAAAACCTGATGTTACAGTTAAATCTACAAATCATCAGATCTTAAACAGATTTGTATAATTGAAATGTACATAAATGATTAGATCAGGTAAAAATTTACACTAATGCTAACACACATTACACTGAAAGGTACTGTATGAATGTTTAAATGTATGAGGGGAGCAGCTGATCGCTGGGCGAGGTAACAACCTTCAGGTATCCCTTTGGGCACAAGTACATCCCTGTATCTTTTGTATATGAATCTCACAATACAGTGTTGTCATCCTCACTTATGTCACATGCCTAACTAAAGTCTGCTCCAAACAGGGAGCTATAGGAAATCTTGTTTACATCCAACAAGTCAGGAAAATGCACTTCATTCTGTCCCCAACAGGGGAGCTGGTATTGCTGTTCACATCCAGCTAGTCAGTACCTTACTGATACACACAACACACATCATGTACAATAAAATGTTGTGTCAACCTGTCAGAAGAAATACATGTACATTTCCTTCAGATTAAACCACTCCACAGCTATATGTTGTGTAGGAGACAGTTACACATCCGTGATTCTCAAAATATACGAAGGAAAAATGTAGAAATAATTTATACTTCAAAAAGTATGCTATTAGGAACATCCATTTTTTTTACGAATACATCAAAATAGTAAACCACAGGACGATCGTTTGATACAAAGACAGGTGCCAGACATTTAACGACCAAGAGATTTGAGCTTCACCCACGTCTTCACGCCAGACACACACAAATGACACACTTCATCTTCCTGGGTTGACGACAATGGTTAATGACGTTTTCTGATCCTTCGGTAGGTAATTATCACTTGTTATATAGTGCTCAGAGCTCATTCGATTCCCCCGATACCTCTTAAATCATGCAAACCAATACTGCATTACTGTGGGACACTTCCTCAGGATAGAGCCTAGCTAATTCACTGAGTGTTACAGTGCTGTCCCTAGTCAGCCCCCCCAGTCGTCTGAACATCACCAGACAGAGCTGGCCCTCCACACAAAGCGATCAGAGCCCCCGTCCTTATAATCAATACATCGTCACATGTCGATAACACCACATCCATCCGCCCATCCGAGGGTTTGTTAGGCAGTGCCCAGAATCCACAATATCTTAATTTCCAGACTCCCCAGAGTCTGTCCAATTTCAGACTTGGCTATTAATACAATCTAAACGACAGCTGATGATGAAAACAAAAATCTAATTCTTTTTATAACTGAAGCAACCAATTTATGTATTATCTGTAGCTTCTATCAAATGGATGAAGAAACTACAATGGTAGCGGCTGTTATATCTGAAATACGCTGCTGGCAACTGTTTTACATTTGTCAATTTCTCTTCCATGTTTATATTTCTCACACAAAAATGCACCATTTTAATATAGAGGAGCAATGATGGCGTTTCATTGTAAAAGTAAATTTAGCAGAAAACAGTTTCATGCCACTGAATAGTAATGTCATTTGTAAATGTTCTCTACTAGAAAACATCCAACCTGCTAGAGAACAAACAAATGATGCGATTTTTATTGGTCACCGGTTAAAAGATTTCTATCTCATTGTTATATCTATCATTGTAAGTGATGACAACAATCACCTGTCCATCACCCTGACAGTAATCCCTCTAGGAGACATCGAGAGGGTGTAAGAAAGGAGACAGTGTAGCACCCTCTCAGCCTAGTTTGTCCTGCTACAGATTTGATCAGATTTGTTTTCACACGTTCGGTTGTTGTCCACTGCGGAGTGGGCTGATCAATACACTGATCCTTTGCCTTACCGGAGACCAGACGCGCCATCAGTCTTTTGTCACGCGCCCCTGGTTCCCGAAGCGCTGTCCGCAACATTTCATCTCATTAATGAAGCAGACAGGACAACATCCCTTTCTCATGTGCCCATAAACATTGAGTTTTTAACCATTGCCAGTTTACTTATAGCTTGCTGGATGCTGTCATTAGGACATCACAGCTAAGTGAGGATATAAAACTTTTAGGGAGCACTGCAGCAATAAAGGATGCAGAGGAACTGTAGACAGCAAAGGAGACAGAGGAGCTGTAGACACCAAAGGATGCAGAGGAACTGTAGACACCAAAGGATGCAGAGGAACTGTAGACCCCAAAGGAGACAGAGGAACTGTAGACACCAAAGGTGACAGAGGAACTGTAGACACCAAAGGAGACAGACGAACCGTAGACACCAAAGGAGACAGAGGAACTGTAGACACCAGAGGAGACAGAGGAACTGTAGACACCAAAGGAGACAGAGGACCTGTAGACACCAAAGGATGCAGAGGAACTGTAGACGCCAAAGGAGACAGAGGAACCGTAGCCACCAAAGGATGCAGAGGAACTGTAGACACCAAAGGATGCAGAGGAACTGTAGACTCCAAAGGATGCAGAGGAACTGTAGACGCCAAAGGAGACAGAGGAACCGTAGACACCAAAGGATGCAGAGGAACTGTAGACACCAAAGGAGACAGAGGAACCGTAGACACCAAAGGATGCAGAGGAACTGTAGACACCAAAGAATGCAGAGGAACTGTAGACCCCAAAGGAGACAGAGGAACTGTAGACAGCAAAGGAGACAGAGGAGCTGTAGACACCAAAGGAGACAGAGGAACCGTAGACACCGAAGGATGCAGAGGAACTGTAGACACCAAAGGAGACAGAGGAACTGTAGAAACCAAAGGAGACAGAGGAACTGTAGACACCAAAGGTGACAGAGGAACTGTAGACACCAAAGGAGACAGAGGAACCGTAGACACCAAAGGATGCAGAGGAACTGTAGACCCCAAAGGAGACAGAGGAACTGTAGACACCAAAGGTGACAGAGGAACTGTAGACACCAAAGGAGACAGAGGAACCGTAGACACCAAAGGAGCCAGAGGAACTGTAGACACCAAAGGAGACAGAGGAACTGTAGACACCAAAGTCATTCATCAAAACTTATCTACGATTTGATGGCTGCCCAAAAATAAATTGAGAATATCTTTCCCTGAATATCTGCCAAACATAAAATCATTCCCTAGTTAAATTGAAGATTTTTCTCCTTTTGGCTGTGATCACTGGTATCATCTGACATCCCCCGAGAGGTAGAGTGTCTGATATAGAGTGATGGGCAAACAGCTCTCAATGTGATCACAATTATGTGTTATGGACTGGAACCATACAGACTGTAACTTAACTCACAATAACACACTTATACAAAATGAAACCATGCTCTTTCCGACAGAATTAAGTGGAATAAGCAGTTTACTGAAGATTGATAAAGTGCAGAAATTTTGCAGATCAAGATAATTTAAAAAAAAACAAAAACTTTAAAGGCCAAGAAGTGCCTAGGTTTATGACATATAATTCCTTAGAATTAAGCTTGCTTTGTAGACAGGCACATTTAGTGTATAATGCAAATTAAAAAAATCCATACTGAATGCTGGGTCACTGTGCCACTATACAATTCTGGGACCAGTACACAATACAGGGCCCACAAAGGGTCACTTAGGCACTGTGTAAAGTATAGTCTGAACTACATGTCAGAGTTACTGTACAATACAGGGCCCACAATAGGTCACTGAGGCACTGTGTAAAATATAGTCTGAACTACTATCAGAGTTACTGTACAATACAGGGCCAACAATAGGTCACTGAGGCACTGTGTAAAGCATAGTCTAAACTACTATCACAGTTACTGTACAATACAGGGCCCACAATAGGGCACTTAGGCACAGTATAAAGTATAGTCTGAACTACTATCAGGGTTACTGTACAATACAGGGCCCTCAATAGGTCATTGAGGCACAGTGTACAGTATAGTCTGAACTACTATCAGGGTTACTGTACAATACAGGGCCCACAATAGGTCATTGAGGCACAGTGTACAGTATAGTCTGAACTACTATCAGGGTTACTGTACAATACAGGGCCCACAATAGGTCACTGAGCCACTGTGTAAAATATAGTCTGAACTACTATCAGGGTTACTGTACAATACAGGGCCCACAATAGGTCACTGAGGCACTGTGTAAAATATAGTCTGAACTACTATCAGAGTTACTGTACTATACAGGGCCCACAATAGGTCACTTAGGCACAGTGTAAAGTATAGTCTGAACTACTATCAGGGTTACTGTACAATACAGGGCCCACAATAGGTCACTTAGGCACTGTGTAAAGTATTGTCTAAACTACTATCACAGTTACTGTACAATACAGGGCCAACAATAGGTCACTGAGGCAAAGTGTACAGTATAGTCTGAACTACTATCAGAGTTACTGTACAATACAGGTCCCACAATTGGTCACTGAGGCACTGTGTAAAGTATAGTCTGAACTACTATCAGGGTTACTGTACAATACAGGGCCCACAATAGGTCACTGAGGCACTGTGTAAAGTATAGTCTAAACTACTATCACAGTTACTGTACAATACAGGGCCAACAATAGGTCACTGAGGCACAGTGTACAGTATAGTCTGAACTACTATCAGAGTTACTGTACAATACAGGGCCCACAATAGGTCACTGAGGCACTGTGTAAAGTATAGTCTAAACTACTGTCAGAGTTACTGTACAATACAGGGCCCAAAATAGGTCACTGAGGCACTGTGTAAAGTATAGTCTGAACTACTATCAGAATTACTGTACAATACAGGGCCCACAATAGGGCAATGAGGCACTGTGTAAAGTATAGTCTGAACTACTGTCAGAGTTACTGTACAATACAGGGCCAACAATAGGTCACTGAGGCACAGTGTAAAGTATAGTCTAAACTACTATCACAGTTACTGTACAATACAGGGCCCACAATAGGTCACTGAAGCACAGTGTACAGTATAGTCTGAACTACTATCAGAGTTACTGTACAATACAGGGCCCACAATAGGTCACTGAAGCACAGTGTACAGTATAGTCTGAACTACTATTACAGTTACTGTACAATACAGGGCCAACAATAGGTCAC